TTGGGTGGCAATTAATAAAAGTTTGTTCAATTTGTATAATTTTTGTACAATGTTTGAAATGTGAATTTATATGGCGCTTATTATGTAATGTGCTAGAATTTTACCAAAAACAAAAAATAAATTAACAAAAGAAAAATGAACAAAACTAGTCAAAATGTCACATAACTTTATCAGCTGACCACAGGGTCATGTATGTATGTATGTACATATACATATATAGAATGTATGTACATAAACATCTATCTGTAGCAAAAAGCCGTAATCGCTTACGTCTGGAGTCTGTCTTTACGAATAATGCACTTTTCGCTTTTTCATTTAAGGATTTTTATGAGGATTGATTAGCGTATTGGGAATTTTTTTCTGATATCAAATTTAGCATTTTTACATTTATTTTGTGGTATTATGGAAAACGTTAGTGAGACAAGCGAACGGAGCGAACGTTGCGTGGTTTTTGCTTTATCCATACTTATATGTATGCAAATTTTAGTTAAACGTAAATTTTAATAAATTTGTACGTCCATTTAAGCAGTGTGTGTTTGTGCGTCATTTGAAGCCGCTACTTTTTGTATTTATAAATGTATATAATGTATATTGTAATCTGTACTTTCCGGTTACTTAGATTCACATACTTTTTTATCAAAGTTACAATATCAGTATGTATTTGTCAAGTCAACACTTATATACCTACATATACGAGAAGCTATGTATGTAGAAAAACAGACGATGAGCAAAACTAACCGCATGCGTTTTTCGTTCTTTTCTTTTCTATTTTTCTTCTTTTTGCAAATCATAAACAAACTGAAACAATAAATCATCGAACATACAACGACAACAAACAAAACACATGCGCAAACAAACACCCAAACAATATCTACTCACGCACGAACAAAATGAACAATGAACAATGAACGCGCTTCGTGTCGCGCGACACCTGCCGCCCCGAATATTGCATTCACGTCTAATAACACACAAACATGCGTACTGTACTTTATACTCATGCTCACACACGCACGCACACAAATTCACAAACTGTTTGGTTGTTGTATTCGATTGTTATTCGATACCGGTTTTCGATGCTGGTCTCAAACGCGGACATTCAACAACAACGAACTCAATACACGCAACACACTCTGGACTGACTGTGCATCTCTGCACTCTCTGAATCTGCGCGCCCCCCACAAACCAGCAACGGTAGCTGCTGCCGCCGCCATGCGTGGCGTCGCCATCCAACGCAGTCATATGGGAGTTGTAGGGGCGCCATTCAACCCAGCATTGGCCGCCGTCGCTGTGGCCGCCCAGCAACAACAGCATCACCATCACCATCATCACCAGGCACACCACCATTCGCACCACGCCGCGCAACAAGCGGCGCACCACCAATTGGGAATGCAGCAGGCGCTGCACATGCAGTCCGCAAACGCCACAAATCAGGCCCATGCCGCTGCCGCCGCCGCGATACAGAATAGCGCCGCCGCCCAGCAGCAACTGCAATCGCTGGCCCAATCAGCTGCAGCCGCTGCAGCCAACACTCCGCAGGCGGCCAACGCTGCAGCAGCTGCATACGCAGCTCGCTTGGGCGCCACAGGCGCGGCCGCACAGACGCCATCCGCTGCTGCTGCTGCATCGATTGCCGCCGCAGCAAATGCAGCCGGTACCGCCTTGCACGGATTCACACCGTAAGTACAATAATAAAGAGCGATTTATCTACATTGTTTGTTTGTATGCGTATACCCTATTATTGTATTTTTGTACGTATGTATGTATGTTTGCTTAGCCATATCATAAGTTTGAGTAAACCAACTCTTTGTTTTTAATTCAAAACCACTTATTTATCAGCAATATTTTGCTTATGAATCCGTTTAGGAAGTTCTTGTATGAGCAGTAGCTTTACTTACTTAGTTATTTACATATTTCTTCTTAGATAGCCGTGACTAAAAAAAAAAATTACATATTGTTATTGTCTTTAAAACAAAGCTTTTTTCATATTGCATATACAAAGCCAAAGTTTTGCTATTTATGTATGTATGTATGTGCGCGTATACGCACCTTTACGTTTACGAATGTGTGCATTTACATACAGTGTACATATGCCTTCATTTATTTTGTAGCATACATGCAAGTACATACATACATACATGTCTACATATGTACGCGAGAATGTAGATACAGAATGTGTTTGATGATTATGCACCAGATCCTACTCCAGCATGACTTTATATTTACTTACCTACATACATACATACATATGTATATCCTGCTTTCCCAACCTCCTCCTTGTGTGTTTACATGCATATATTCGTATGCTCATACTTATGTACATATGTATGTATATCGATTTTCGCCACATTAAAGTACTGCATTTTTTAACACTTAATTAATTGAATTCTTTGAATGAGGTGTGAGTGTCTCGAAGCAAAGTTTGTATTTTTGATTATGGCTATATTTTATCTAACAGTAAATATCCATTTAAAAACCGTACACAAATATAAACAGTTGAGCTACAGCTATCTATGTTTATTCTAATCATTTTTTGTGAATGCCCTAAATATGTATATATGTAGGAACGCACGCACGTATTGAATGAAGTTCGAGCTGGCCGCCTGCGTGTGTGTCGATCGGCAAAAGCCAGTTCTTAGTGAATAGCCATAGAAGATTCAAGATTGATGCTTTGTGGGCTAAGATAGATGTATAATTCGAATGCAGCTCTATTTTCAAATGCATATGCAAGTTTTAATATTTTTTTTTTTTTTTGTTTTTCCACTTTAGCTGCACGGTGTTTAGTTGTTTTTGTACTTCTTGTAAGCATTTATTTAGCTGATCGCCCGATTTATCGCATTGGCGAATTCCAACATTTTTTCTCGAATATTTTTTATCTGCTTGGAGCTCATTCATGAAAATCATTTCAAATATTAAACCTGCTAATCTTTAGTCAATTTAAAAGTGATTGAGGTGAAAGGTCAGGGAAGTTTTAAGGTTTTTTTTTTTGTTTTTTGTTTTAGAGAAGCGAACTGCTTTCATAAGAAATGGGTTTTTTCCTAGATTTAGGGTCAGGATTAGGGAAATTATATAGAGCGTAGCCCTGAAATCGGTCTAATTGAAATTGATGTTTAATATTTTTGCATAATGGAGGTGCTAAATAAATACATATATCCATCATACATATGTACATATGTACATATAATGTACTCCTTCTGAGTATTGTTTTTATTAAGCTCATTTAATAGCGAAAAAGTGAGCCTAAGTACATATGTACCGTTAGTATGAATCGTGCGCTATACGTACAACTGCGAACTGCGAGGTTCTCCATGGATTGGAGACATTCGATAAGCCTTCTCGGAATAATAAAATAAAATAAGTCAAACAAGGCAGGGGATGTTTGAATTTTGCTTTTAAGTACCCCACTCTCATTATCGAATTTAGTGATCGATGGCATCTGACTTTTGAAATCTAACATAATATCTTTTATATATCTCCTACAGCGTTTACTATGATCCCTTCTTAGCAGCCGCTGCAGCTTCCGCCGATCCAAATTTGCGATTCCAGGTAAATTTGCAAAAATGCAACAAAAACAAATATCATTTTAGTATTCCAAAATGAACACTTACTATTAACTGATATTGGTACAATCATCTTTAAATGAAATTTTATAAATTATACGTATAATTAGCGTTAAGTCTTACTTAGATATAAAATTACGGATTAATTATTAATTAGTGGTGTCTTATCTAAAGTGTGAGTTTTGAAAATTTACATATCGTAATACAAATTTTACAGGCAGCCAAACCGGTCTCGGAAGTTCCAGCCGCACAGCCAGCAGCCATTCTAAATGTAATTTCCCAATTATTGATTCCCCTAGTACCCGTAACTCTTTATGTGTCAGCGTTATTCTCACTTTTCATAAAATCCACTTTAGTTTACGATTTCATTTTGGGGTTTTGCGCCAATTCTGCAATTTTCAATTTTCTAATAAATTTTTTTTTTTTCGTATTTGTATTTGTATGTACCTGATTTTCATTAGTTTTGGTCTGAATTACTAATCATACAATTTTCATAAGTCATCGTACGTACATATGTATTTAGGTACGTATGTATGTGCATTTTATACATAATGTGTACATACGGAACTACATATCGCACGTTTAATAATATGTATATAGAATGCTTATTCATGAAAACGCGTAAATGCCCCGTAGCCGCGAAAACCTCGTCAATAAACCGTTTTTCCATACAAAATTAAGTAAGTTTACGAGGTTTACATGGTTGCCGAGGCATTTACGCGTTTAGATGAATTGCCAGAAAACCGATGGAAATAGACATATCTATGTATGTACATACACATCTTCGGTTTTTTGGGAAGTTTAGTTATCTGATTGACTTAACATACTCTCCTTATCAAGCTTATTAATTGTATGATAAAATCTCCAAAAACGTAAATTTTGAATTAACTCGCTATATACATAACACTGGTTTACAGCAAAAATGCACACTGGATGCTGTAGGGTATAAATACCTTCTTCCTTTATACGTGTAAAATTTTTATTTGTTGTTCAATTGTTCTTAGATTTTATTTGAATTTCTAAATGAAAAGTTTTTAAAATCAGTAATATAAAAATCTTCAAACTACAAACATAAACTTTTTTATTGAGCATTAAATAACTATTATTAACTGTTCAATTCCTATGTAGAATTGCTCGCTCCGTGGATAAGTGTTCGAGATTCAATTTACCGTTATTCACCGTATGTATATCTTACGAACCAATTCAACTATCTTAATTGACAAACGAAATCTATCGAAATTCTCCATAGACCGCGTATACATCACTTTACGATAGGCATGATAGTTTCTGAAAAATTAATTAATCATTCCAGATTTTTTGTTTTTTGCTAAAAAAAAAATGAAAAAAATTCTCAAACTTTATCTAACAGGGAAATACGCAAAGATTTTTTTATGAAATATGAGGACAAAGGTGTATTACTCATACATATGTACATGGCGTATGCGTAACAATTCCTGCTTATATTTCATACAAAAAAGAATTAATTGCACTTTTTTCCATATAAAGGCCTGTATGCAGCTCTCAAGAAAAGCAAAAACTCCATATTAAATGACGTACAAGAAATGGCTAAGAAATTTTCTTGAGTCAAATTTCCTTAAGGCAGTACGCAGTTCTTAAGGAATTTGCTACGCTTTCTACTACGGTTTTCTAAAATTCAAGGCCACCCAGGTTTGCAACAGAAATATTTGCCCGTTCCATTATTTCTTGAGGAAAGAGTGAGGCAACAGGATGTGAAGTATCAAAAATGTCAAAATTCTTTGGACACACACACACACACAGAGAGCTGCATACAGGGCATTAGAATGAATTTCGTATGAAATAAAATGCGGGAGACCGTTCGCAACAAATTTAAAAAAATAAACGCCCGTTTTTGTAAGTATAGCACTTGCTGTATAAAAAAAAAAAAAACGCAAAGGCAGTATCCAACCAAAAAATTCTCAAAAATAAACGCGACCAAAATTGTATGGGCTAAAAATTCAGATTAAAAAGTTGAAATTTTAATGAAAATTTGTTGAATTTTCTTAAATTTTGAAGCTGTGATTAAAGCTTGAACGATAGTTGGGTACTGTTTATATATTTGTACAACGATTTTGGGTTGCTGTGTCCAAACGCGTGATTCGAATCAAAAAACTGTTACACACACTTGCAGACAAGAGTTCACGCTTTGTTATGAAACACAATTTACTATATCTGTGCACTAATTCATTAATATTGTCGGTTGGAAATATGGTATTTTTTTTTGCAAATTTCCGAGCTGAGCTGTCAAACAAAAAATATTCACGAAATATCTCTGCAAAAGGTGTTCAACCCCTCTTCTTCGGCAACACACAAAGGAAAATTCTACTTAGTGAAGGTTATAATCCTTTTGCAAAAAATCCAAATGTCCCCAAATGTGAGAGGGTGGTGAGTTTTCATAAAGCGGGGACCATCCTATTTCGTTTAGGGGGATTTGGGTGTCGATGACCCTCCCGCTCCGCCCACACCCCAAAATCGTTGCACAAATAAGTAAACATTTCCCCGGTATTCCCCCGGTAGAAAAATAACAAAAAAATTAGCTCGAACAACATTACGAATACTTAAAAAAACTCAACACGCTTTATAATATACATAATTATTTCAAAATTTCAATCAAAGTTTAATCAATTCATACAGTTGATATACCACAAGTAATTTTTAGCAAAAAAAAAACCGACTTCCACTGATCGGATTTAACCATATTAGTATGGGATCACCTCTGAGACACTACCTTTCCGATGCAAAAAGAATTATCGAAATCGGTTGACGTGGTCCAGTTATGCGGTAACATACATAAAAAATAATAAAAATAAATAAAAAATAAATAAAAAAATATTCCGACGAACTGATAACCTCCCCCTTTTTTGGAAGTCGGTTAAAAAGACAGATGCAAATACACATATCTTCGCAAATTTTTGGGAAGTTTAGTCATCTGTTAGGCTGGGAATATTCTCCTTATTGAGCTTACTAATTGTATGATGAATCCCCAAAAATGTCAATTTTGAATTACATCTCTATATTAATAAACGTGCGATATGTATGTCATTAGGTCCACCTAACGAATAACGGCAAATTGAAAATATCTCGAAACCTCATCCATAGAAAAACAATCAACGCGATTTTCGGAGTCAACGACAGGGCTGCCAACTTGGCTCAAACCGTGCCCTATTTTAAACCAAATGGCACTTAATTTTTCACAAATTGGCACAAAGTTCCCAAATGGCACTTTTGGAAAATAGGAATATTTCAATACATTTCCTTTTTCTCAACTAAAATTTTCTAATTTCTAAAGATTATTCAACTGGTCTATCTTATTTGGCATTGCACTTTTGTTTTAGAAATGTGGTTCTTATTTGATTGCTAAATGGGGAGGATTAAAAAGGATGGCACCATTTTTGGCACTTTTATTTTTCTATTAGGCACATTTTGGCATTTTTTTTTTTACCCACAATATGGCAGCTCATAGCTAAAGATAGTTGGCAGCACTGGTCAACGAGCGATTCTACATTGGAAATGGATAGGGGCATGTGGTGAACAAAAAACACAAATTTGTGATCCAGTGTAATTAAACGTCCGATATGTACATACGTATATACATACATAATTCGTTCTTTATAAAATTGTACTATAAAACGAATCGCATTATTTCATTTATGTATGTAAAGACACACATAAAAACACATATACATACACAATACATACTAGGGCTGAGACAACTCGGATATTCTAAACCGTATTTGTATGGATTCATAAAATTTAATCTATCGAGTTGCCAAATAAATATGTAATAGAACACTTCATTAATACACAAACAATTGTTATTTTATTGCTAATTTTTAGATTCGAATATCCGAATATCTATACACTATTCAGATATCCGAATATTCGGATTTTTTATTCAAAAATTCGAAATAGTCAAAAAATCCGGATAGAACTCCCAGCCCTACAACATACATACATATGTACATATGCATATACATACACATATTGAATTACTTTTGTATAAGTCATCAATTTTTTTACCGGTCAGATAAAGTTTGTGGTTGCTTACAAATCACCAAAACATATTCTTAACCGTTATACAAATTTTCACGCTAAGACAAGATTACTCATTTTGACACCATATGAACTCCGTTATAGTGGTTTTTTATGACAAATTCGACAATTTTGAAATCAAAAAATATTTAGGGAGTGCTCACCGCCCTCAAAATCGTCCAGGTATTTTATATGGGGGAAAAACAACTTTTCGTAGAAATGGTATAAAATTCTTGAAAACCAATATTTTTCGATCGGAAAAATGTCGTTCTCTTCAGGAGACTTCAAACATTAATATTAAAGATTTTTTATTGGTCCCCCCATTGCATTTTTTTATAGTTACCATGAGTAAATGGTTAAAGAAACAATGCGGTATTATTACTGAGAATTTCCTGAAGATAAGCAAAGTTTTCCGATTGAAAAATACTTATTTTCAAGAATTCTACACTATTTCTACGAAAAGTTTTTATTTCCCCATATAAAATACATGGAAAACTTTGAGCGCTTTGAGCACTCCCTAATTTTTTATTTTTTTTTTTACTTCAAAATAAAAAATAATAGACCAAGATTAGCACGTACTGTAAGCGGGTTAAAATAATAAATGCGTGTAGTAACTCGCCGCTGAATTGCTTCCTACTACAGTATATTTACATGTCAATAACTCGAATTGTATGTTGATATTTTTTTTTCGGTAATTGGACACCATTTGCAAAATGACCTGCTTCTGGTCCTTCCACTGAACTTAGCCGCTGTATCATTCACAACTTCAATGTTTCCTACCATGTATTTCGCCCCTTTATATTGCTCATGGGAGACTAGACAGTCGAATACAGTTGAAGTTAAAAAGGCTTATCTCAAACTGGGTAAAAATGCATATTTTCGTTTCCGCACAAATAAATTGATGCAATTCTTTTGGTTAACAATTTTCGACAGTAGTTAATTCTTTTAGATGGAGACATCTCTTCTTCTGTTTCATCGACATTATTTTTATTGGCTGATCTTTTCCTTTAGTTCGAGAGTAATGTCACCATCAAAAAAAGAACATGCCAGTGATTCAGGTCTTACATCACATAAATAGTCCAAGAGCCCACCATCAAAAGTCTTAGGATTACGTCCATATTTTTAGGTTTTTAGTTATTTACATGCAATAATTAAATATAATTTTTTACCAAAGGTCCTATTTTGAACTTCGAAGGCCCACATCTCGATTTCGGAGGCCAATTTCGAAAAACGGAGAAATCACTGTTTTACCTATGACACAATCTCTTAAAAAAAAATTGGTTTGGTCCAATACCAAGAAAAAAGTTGATTTTGCCGTACAGTGTTATTGGTTTATCCTTGAATTCCATGACTGTAGCTTTTTTTTTAGTGATAGCATAAGAATTTATGAAATGGAAAGTTTCGTGCCAAGCATTTTGAATATTCGTAGACCTGGTCCTGGTTGGCTTTCTAATATAGAAATGTTTAAACTTTAATTTGGTATAAGATTTGAATTGTTTCTCGATGGGTATAAAAATGCATCAAAAAATAAATATAAAAAATTGCATGGGCCAAAGCATCAGAACAGGATTTCATACGGTACTAAATAGTATACATTCGTTTTCTACTCACTATTATAAATTTTAAGCATAAATACAGACTCTGTCCAGGCTCTCTAAATGATAAATGAGTACTAACAGTTGAAAAACATTCGACACTGTTGGTCGAACGTAGTGAATTTTGACGGTGGGCCCTCAGTCTAAAAGTATTAAGGAATTTTCATAAACAAGTTATTAAATACTAAATTATTTAAATCGTACCCTTATGCATCTGCCATTGCGGAATTAAGGGCCACTGCTTCTCAATAACTGCATAGGTTTGCACTTGTACAGAGCAGAAATTCAACGTTCAGTGATTATGTGCCGACTGACTACCTCGACTTTGTGTAACATATTTTATCAATAAATCACTTTCGCTCCTATCGGCAAGTTTTGCTTTCTCGCCGAAAAAACATATGTTTGTGTTAGCCCCGTTTTAACGCAACATTTACGAGCAAACTGACTTACTAGTATGTAACTTAATTGATTTGATTTGATGTAATTGGATAATTTTAGATCAAAAGTAAAACTAATAAGTGAGTGAAAAATTCAGGTCTGGTCATATTTTTAACCGACTTCAAAAAAAAAGGAGAAGGTTATCAATTTATCGGATTTTTTTTTTTATGTATGTTACCGCATAACTCTGGACCACGTCAACCGATAACTTCTATCGGTAAGGTGCTGCTTCAAGGGTAGTCCCACAATAATTTGGTTTAGATCCGATCATGTGGGCATGAAGAAATTAACGGTACTATGCAATTTTTATATGAGAATGAAGTGGGTTTTGTTTTTTGCTTAAAAATTACATGGTTTCCGTCCGGTCCCAGCAACATCAAAACACATATGTATGATATACTGTTAATCCCCAAGTAAACTAGTATAAAATTTTTAAATTATTTTCCTTAAATTGGAAAAGCCTTGAAAATTTCGAAAAACTCGAAACCTTTATTGAGAGGTTAGTATTTGATTGACATGAAAAAAACCGGTTTGTTCGAAAAAATAATCCGGTTTATTCGATATTCGAAAAATCAAAATTTCTATTACCCTAATATGCAGTCAAACATCGTTTTTACTTTCAAAAAGCGTGAAAATGCTTAATACATCCATTGGAGCCATCAAAACTAAAGAGATGGCCATCATTTTTTATATGTATATTTTTCCAAAACATTTGAGGCCTTCAGAATTCCGTTATTTTTAGCGTTGTGCATCATGCATGATTAATTTTTCCTTGTGGGGATATTAGAGCAATTGTTTCGCTTTTTTTTCAATCCCCTTTTACGTCGATAAGAAGCTGACCTCGCAGTGGACCTTGTGTTTGGTTTTTACTTCTAAACGCGCGTAAAAATGCTAATAGAAATCCGGCGTTATTTCTATTCTTAATAAGTCCATTCTTAATAAATACTACATTAAGTTAATCAGATATGGCTATGTCCAGTTTCTCGAGTGTCCATAATGTCGAGCCGTTTCTGTATGTACATATGTACTATGTACTAGATATGTAACCACTTATAATATACATATGTACTTTACTTGTATTCGCAAGGACATACATACATACATACATAAATACACTACATGCATACAGATTGTATAAGAGAGAGCATAATTGTATCTTTCTTCAAACGCTTTTTTGTTGGCCAACTCAAATGCATTCCACTTATTGGATAACTATTCTAAATTATGATTTTTGTATTGAGATTTTGAAACTAATAACCTCATTTTAATTTCGAAAATTCCGGCGTTGATACAGTGGTTATACGCATTATAGAACTTTAATATTTTATGCTAATAATTGTGCATTGTTTTATTATTTATTGCTTTGTATATTTAATATTGATTTTACTTGTACTTTTAAATAAATATCTGCTAGCATAGACTAAATACTTTTCACCTAATTGTTGTGATGTTCCATATTATTTATGTACATATGTAATACACTCGTATCTTAAACTGAGTAACCATAATATACAACAAAAACAATCTCTATCATATAATCTACTTGAAAACTTACAGCGCCGCACTGTGACAACGCTAAACAGTTCCCCACATACGATCAACCGCATTCCGGTTCCACAAAACGTTTTGGTAAACGAAATATTCAAAATTTTTTCAAAACGCTACAACTGGCATATTGTTTTTTTTTTTTATTATTAATTATCAAATTGGGTTCGAAATTTCTTAATGTGTTGAATGAAGTTTTCTTGTTTGCATCTAATTTTAAAAGCCCCGTTATTATTTTTAGCAACAATTTTTGTTGAATTTATAAATAAATATATGCCTTGATATGTGGTCAACTCAATTGAGTTGGTGGCATTTTTACCAGTTTTGGCAATTTTTCTTTTGTTTTTTTTTTTATTTATAAATCTTTTATAAAGTCTAGCTCATTTGTATAACAAAAAGTATATATGTATGTAAATTCACATTACAAACTTTGAACAGAAACTATTAAAATTAAAAAAATGTTTAGCAAAATTTTATATTTTTTCCAGAATGTTTGGAAAATTTTTAGGTACATATTTATGTATGTAAATATTTAGTTGTACATATATCCTATTTAGTTATAGAACATACAAAAAAGGGCATGTTGCGTACCTAATTTTTTTTTTAAGTTTGAAATTTTGTTAAAAATGTTTTCAATTTTTATACACCAGCACTGGCATGATGAGTGAGTTATGCGAGTGATTTTGTAAGACGAGAAAGGACTTTACTTGTCAATTGCCTACTCAGCCCAAAGTAGCACTTGTTGGCAAGAGTGGAGTGATTCTCCGTTGGATTTCAAGGCTGACATTATAATTGGTGTTAATACTGGCTTCCAAATAAACGAAGTCGTCTACTTTTTCAAACTTGTAAATAACTGTCTAGAGTGACGTGGGTGACAATACGCTTATGCTCTGACGGTTTGTGTGACGTTTTGTCCTCTTCACCACCAAATCGCTTTATTTATCTATATAATCCCGAGAAGGTAGAACATTCATTGCCCTTGTTTTTACTGATGTTGTCGATGTCATCGGCATACCCCAGCAATTGTACGTTTTTGTAAAGAATTGTGCGCGAAAGATTCAGTCGTTTGGCTGTTAATATCTCCTCGAAGCATCATATTAAAGAAATCACATGAAAGGGAGTCGCCCTGTCTGGAACCCCGTTTGGTAGAAACCGGCTCGGAGAGGTCTTTTCCAATTCTGACGGAGCTGGTGGTATTAGATAGAATGTTAGAGGCTGTGCACTGCGACCTTAGGTCTATTGTGCCCTGGTGGTATTGCTCAACGTCATTTTAGGCAGACGTATTAGTTTATCGGGGAAACTAAATCGAGACATCTTCTTTTCGTTAAAGTGGCATTCATGTCAACAAATAGATGGTAGGTATCCTGTATTTGATTGGCCCAAAGCCACTCAGTTCGTTGACGGTGGTGTTCAGTCTTTCACACAATACACTCGGCAAGATCTTGTAACCCATGCTTGGAAGGCTGATCCCGTGGTAGTTGGTGGATTACACGGAACACACTTAAATTCCAGTCGCCGGGCTATGCGTTCATCTGACCATATTCTGCATTAGGGTTGATGCATGCAACTCCTCGCCACTTTGATTGAATAGCTCGGCTGGTATTAAGGATGTCCGTTCTAACAGCTTTATTGTTTCTCAGCCGCGTAGTTGCTATTCGTACATCCCGCGACAAAAGAAGATTTTTACCAGTTTTAACTACTTTTCTTTAGCTTTTTTTAAGGTTAACAATTTTTATATAAAAGTATAGCTCTTTATGCAACAAATGCCATATATGTAAATCTAAATTTCGGACTCGCTGGATATAGATCCAATTTTTGCATAAATCAATCCGTAGGATTTGTCTTCAATTAATGCAAATATTTTTTTCTTTATGATTATACGTATTAATTATCTAACCAGAAAACTACTGTTATATCTGTTTTTGTTTTAATTCCCGTTTACTATGCTCCATCCACAAGTTATAAATTCGGATCTGATTTTTGAGTTTTGCCTCTTTTGAAGATAGTGTGGGCTATAAATAAACAAAAGAAAAATGGCCAATACTGGTCAAAATGCCACTAACTTAATAAGTTGACCAAAAGTATATATATGGACTCATTTGAATGTATGTATGTACATACATTAAGTGGTCCTCATCAAGTAAAGTTGGAATTTTAATGCTCTCACCCCTAGGGGGTGTTGTTCTATATCGAAAAAATATACCCTTAATTTTTTATTTTTAAATCAAAAAATATTCAGAGGGGTCGCTCAAAGAGCTGAAAGTTTTCCATGTATTTTATATGGGAAAAAACAATTTCCTAGAAATGGTTTCGAATTCTTGAAAATCGATATTTTTCGTGCGGAAAACTGCTTGTCTTCAGGACACTTCCAATAACAATACCCACTTGTTTATTTGACCAATTTTTAATACTAAATAATTTTTTATTCATGCCCCCATTGTATTTTCTGACATTTTCTGGAGGCTTTGGCGGACCTATAAAATATAGTCACTAGAAAATATTTGTTAAATAAATAATTGCGTATTATTATTGGGAATATCCTGAAGAGAAACAAAGTTTTCCGATCGAATTATATTCCATTTCTACAGAAAGTGTTTTTTCCCCCATATAAAATACATGGGAAACTATGAGCGCTTTGAGCAACCTCTAAATATTTTTTGATTGCAAAACAAAAAATAGAGGTATATTCGTTCGGTATATTCTAGCATAAAAATTCCGACTTCTCTTATTCGCGTGCATTTTTGGACCACCCTAATGTGCACACATACATATGTGACTGTTCATTATTTACTTATAATTTAGTACTAGTTGTTGCAGGCATGTCTTCGTTATGTTTACATAAAATCTTTTTAACTCATATACATATACATATGTACATACATAAATACATATATGTCACGATTGAGAGAATACAAAGGTTGCGCCGATCTCGGACCGCTATTCCTCTCTTAACGAATTTGACAGAATCGTTGTTTGCATGGCGTCACACTTGTGCAACTTGTTTACGTTTTCCTTGCAACATTTTTTCTTCTTCTTCCATTCTTGCTCACGTTTTGGCATTCCGCTCTCCCAATTGCACCAGTGTGACGTCAACAAAAGTTATTCTCAAAAATCCTCTCTGATCGGCGCAATCTTGTATTCTATCATTCTTGCATATATGTATGTATGTATGTACGTATGTATAAATATATATTATTTGATACCAAGAATGATAGAATGCAAGATTGCGCCGATCAGAGAGGATTTTTGAGAATAACTTTTGTGTGACGTCACACTGGTGCAATTGCGAGAGAGAAATGCCAAAACGTGAGCAAGAATGGAAGAAGAAAGGAAAGCGTAAACAAGTGGCACAAGTGTGACGTCATGCAAACAACGATTCTGTCAAATTCGTTAAGAGAGAAATGGCGGTCCGAGATCAGGCGCAACCTTTGTATTCCCTCAATCGTGATTTGTTACTATATTCGTTTCCACTGTTTACCTTATTTCAAATAATTTAGTGCTTTTTAAATATAAACAGTATGTATGTATATATTGGTTAATGGTTGGCTTGGCTTGACATTCCAGGTGTTGCTGTTGTATGGGACAAATCCACACTTTATCGCACATTGTTGTATTCAAGTTCTTTATTATTAAATGTTATTGATAAATTAAGCATGCATTTTAGACTATTTTATTATAATAAGTATGTATTTAAAATAATTTTTTGTTTTCCGTTACCTCCATTTCCCCATCTTTTTTCATATTAGAGTATTTCTTACATTCCACTATCCAGTTCCCTCCCTCCGTCTATGTCTCTACTAAACCATTTTGTAAATGCTTTATACATATGTCCTATGTACATACATGCATATTTCAGCAAATTATTAAATACTAATACATATGTTCTAGTAGATGTTGCTGCATCCTCCTCTTACTCCTTAGCTGCTTTATACCTTTAGTCACACGCAGTGCCTCACTCGATAGTCCGTTCGTTTGCCGTAACGTTTAACAGTCCCCTCACCACCTTCCTTATCATCCTTCGTCAGTATTTCGCTGGCGTTTTTCGTTTTCGTTTTCGTTTTATATACGCCTTTAACCCTCTTTGTCTCCGACCATTGCAGGCTACAGCACCGCTGCTAAAGACTCCGCTGTCTCAAGCACAGCAGGCGTACGCAACGGCTGCCACCACATATACGGCTGTGGCGGCTAGGGCTGCTTATGGCGCTGCTGCCGCCGCTGCACAGCCAGCACTGGCCGGTTACGCCACCGTCGCGGGGTAAGTTTCGCTTGAAAGTGTGCAGACTCTAATTATTACGCGCAAATTCGCAACATAGCCACTAATCC